CATTCAAAAATCGTCATATCGCACACCCCTAACTACCAAGTATAATCAATCTCACACACACAAACAAGCACAACGAAATCACTTCACACTATTAAGCGGCTGTGTTATGAACATGCAAAATTGTATCGCACCCGTGCTACAGTGGTAAATTTATTCATCGCACAGACCAGTTTTTTTGTGGCATATATGTCGCACTGTACAGCCCTGTATATATATATTAAAAACATAAAAATAAACATAAAACAAATGAAATATAAAATAAAACATTCAGCAAGATATTAGTGGCATAGATAACTAGTGTAGGGTTAGTCTGTTTCTGAGGGCGTGTGATTCATGTGAAATTTGTTCTTTCATTTCTTTTCCAGATAATTTGTGGAATTGTGGTTTGGGACTAGGAAGTATTTCAGGAAGTATTTTTATCTTTTATCTTGAAATTGATCACAGGAATAGAGAAAGTGTTTTTCCCTCTTTGGCACTCTTTCAGCGCACACAAACCCACTCTCTGTGTGTCGTGCTGTTGTGGTGTGTGAGCAGTAATAAGCTCTGTATCTGTCTGATGAGCTGCTGCCAGTCTCAGTTTTTATTCATGTAAATTCATGGACGCTCCGTGCTACACAGGGCACATGCAAATTGGCAGAGGGGTTTTTATTTTGGGAGGAATGCAAATATAGGAGGGGAGGTTTTATTTTTGTGGTGATGCGCTCTGCAGATCAAGCCGTGCGGAAGAATGTTGCCTGATCTCACTAGCTGGTTGAGTTTGTTTGTGTGTATTGGTAGTTAGCATCATTATTTAGCAGATGTGGCAGCGCTTCATAACGTTACATTGACAATAGTCTGTAACTAGACTGTCAGCAGAAAGTCACATGGAAGTTTATTCAGGCGTCCACTTACACAGGAACCGTTTGACTGATATTGACAAACCAGTTTGTTTTTTTACATGACATTTAAGAGGCCAGTACAGCTGAAATTTGGATGTACACAGCGTTTCCTTGGTTACAGCTGTAAGCAAAGCAGCTGCACTTATTAACACTAAATGCATTATACAGAGGCAAGATGAAAAGAAAACTAAGTAAACTTTTCTGAAGTCAGTCAGTTCCCCACAGAGATACATTCATATAAATCCCCAATTCAATATTCAGGATTTTCCTCCAGTATTTCGCACATTGTGAACAGTGAGCTGCTCTGCCAGCTGTATTTTCTCCTCTTTGCTTCCATCTTCAGCATCTCTGCCTCTGTTAACGTCCTGTTTACACACTTTGTAATATTTCCACACAAATGACATTTTGGAAATTGATTGCAGTGCAGTTTGTGTGCAAGTCTGGAACAGAGATCGGCTGAAATAAAACAAAAAAAATGGCTGTTCGACCGGTGCATCTGTACTCTACTGATTAAATTAAATATAGATTAATCATTGTTAAAGCTTCAAAGTTACTTGCATGTAGTTGTCTTTCGCGTCTTGCTGGAATGCTTTAAAATCGCTTGAATTTTTAAATTAGCAAGTGACAAATTCGTCAACTGTCCCAAACGTCTTACACACTGGCCCCGGGCCATCTGGCAGTCCGTATTGTCGAGCCCTGGATGTAACTCTGAGAATAAAACAGAATTTACATTTGAGGTATGTATGTAATATTTAGGTATGTGTGTATCTATATACGTAGACAAAGTTTGAGGTCAACAAGTTTTTTTTTCTTCTTCTTTCTTTCTTTTTTAAAATAAATTATTCTGCAAAGATGCATTAAATTGATCATAAGTGACAGTAAAGACTTAAAATGTCTATTTCATATAAATTCTGTTCTTTTGTTTGAATTTCCTATTCATTAAAGAATACATAAAAACCATTTCCGAAAAATTATTAAGCAGAACTATTTTCAACATTGAAAATAATAAGAAATGTTTCTTGAGCAGCAAGTCATAGAGTAATGATGCTGACAATTCAGCTTTGCATCAGGGATAATTTGCATTTTAAAATTTATTCAGTAGAAATTATTTTAAATTGTAATAATATTTCATAATTGTAATAATATTTTTTTGCATTTTTTCAAATAATAAAATAATTTTTTTGATGTTTTAAAAAACATAAAAAAAACTACTGACTTCAAACTTGAATGTTTATATATGTGATATTTTTTTTGCCTGTTTTATCATCAGCCAGGTAAATATTGTAAGTCAGTAATATGAGTATGATCAAATTTAAACAAGAGTAATAGCAAACATTAGAAAACACCACAAAAAATAAAATAAAATGAAACAATTTAAAATAAAAATAGTTTAAAATTAAATTAAATTTGTAAAATAAATAAAAGGGTCTATCATCCATCCATAATAAGTTAAAATAGGTAAAATAAATCAAATAAAAAGGTTTTAGTTAGTAAGTAACTGCAATTTGTCTAGCTTGTCTGAATCTTCCAGAAATTATTATTTTTTTTCTGACAAAGATGGAAGAGCTCACATCCCCCTCTGTCTCTCATCTTCTCCTCTCCTCCATTCTGTCTTTATTGTGATGAGAGATGCAGGTAGGCACTTTTGCCTTCGGCTCTCATCTCAGACACACTGAATGGCAGTGACTCCGCTGGCTTCTGACTCATTTGTTTGGTCATTAATGTTGTCCCACAGGACATAAACAGCAAATGGATTTTCAGTGTGTGTTGACAGAAGTAGCTGGTGAATACTTTTGTGAATGCTTTTGTGTGTAGGTTTGTGTCTGAAATGCATTGACTGCTTTAGGCCAGAAACATACTCTATGCAAGTACATTGATGCAGATGTTGGTTCAATGCTATCTATCTATCTATCTATCTATCTATCTATCTATCTATCTGTCCGTCCGTCCGTCCAATAAGGTGAAAAGTTTCAGTTAGTACGTTTTTTTTTTCATTTCTTATCTTCTAATTTATTTGTGTGCTGTGTGCTCTTTCCATCAAAAACATCTTTGTAACAACCTAGTAACCACCCAGAATACCCTTGTTACCACATAACAAACACTTAGAGCATCATAGTATTGTTGTGGCATGGTTTTGCATGGACAAACAACTCTGTTTTATTTCAGTAAATATAAAAATCATGTATCCTATGTGTATTTGTTTGTGTTTTAATGTAAGTGCAAGGTCAGAGGATTCTGATTGAACACTATAATGTTACACACACTTCGAGAGCTCTAGACCTGAGGAAATGATGCAGGTGACAGGAGCAGCACTCCATTGATATCCAAGACACTTCCTACCGTAATGGTTTTTTGGCTTGTCATTTTGACATGTGACTGTTGTTCTGCTAATGTAATTGCGTTCCGCTGAAAGTTTCCACTTCCAAAATATATTTTTCAGTTTGTGGAAGTCGTTTTCCTTTTTTTCTGTCAAGAAAAATGTAACTAACCACCGTGACCATTGTGTTTTTTTTCTGCAGCAGTCTAACACGGACGGTGGATATTTCTGGAGACCTCGGGCCTCTGGGCATCAAAGTCATATCACATTGCTCTTCACTGAGTGGAAGGTAAAGCGCGCGCACACACACAGATTCATGGTGTCTTCACACACTTGCCTGATAATGGACCATGAGATGCACTGTTGTACAAATTCTCCCTTTTGATTCTCGAGTATTGACTCTTTTTTTAATTTAATTTAATTTAATTTAATTTATTATTATTATTTTATTTTTTTTATTTATCATTATATAAAACAATGCCAGCTGACCATTTCTCAATTACTATAATTAAGTTGACCTTTTTTATGTTTTCTCACTTTGAGTGTTTTATTTATTATGATAAAAAAAAAAAATCAATTTTTTTTAGCATTTTCTTCAGCATTGGCCATTATATGAAACAATATTAATTGACCATTAGTCTAACTTAAGTAAATGTGAATAAAATAAATATGTTTTACTCTATAAAGGAGTAGCATCACCTTATTTCACATTTATAAACGCTATCTGTGGCATGCGTGGATTACTTAGTGGTTTCACTTTTGTAATTTCAATGTTATAAGTCAACAGTGTCCCATTCATATTTGCCCATAGAAACGCACTCAAACACTTACAGGAAGTAGCTAGGAGAATGGCTCTTTCAGACTACATGAATAGGTCAAAAGTTAAGTTCTCAGGGCAAGGACACACACATGTTGCATGACAGGAAGTCCTCCCTGGGTAGACGATGACAAGCTTCCTGGTGTTGAGGCCTCTGCACCCTGTTGAGCTCCGGATGGAAATAGACCCTCTCTCTGTAGGTGGGCAAACCTGTGTGGTGGCCTGGTGAACTACTCTTTAGGGTGTGTAAGACCCAAAGGAAACCCTAAAGTCTTAAAGGAAGTAACAGCAAATAAAATCTTGATAATTGAAACGGTTGCCTGACCAGGTCAGTTCTCAAAACAGAAAGATGCTGATGCCTCTAATATCGAGAGACATTTCAGAGAAAATTTCTGGAATATATCTGATATTTTCATTAAAATCATTAAAAAAAGTAAATAACGCTTGCCTTTTTCCTGGTGTGTCATATACCATATATTTTTTTATACTTAATATACTTTTAGCATTTACTTTTTTCTGTTTTTCCATTTTTAGATATTTAATTTAATTTTATTTAATTTTATTTTATTACAATTATGCTTTATAACTTTTTTAATTATATTACTTTATATAATGTATATGTATGTAACCTCTCACTGCATTTGGAGAACAAGCAAACCACTTGGCCACAGTTCCAGCACCATTTTATTTATTGTACTAACAAAACTATAGACGTTTTATATAAGTTATTTTCAGTTGGAATTCTGCTTCTTATGTACAGTTAATATCTTCAGTTATTTTCTGAATGCCTTTCCCTGTCTGAAATCTGTTCGTTGCTTGTGTCATCAGGACTCTGGGGCTAAATATCCGAGCCATCGAGAAGAACAGCCGCTCCGAACAAGAGGGGATCTTTGAAGAGGACGAGTGCATCGTGCAGATCAATGACACCGAGTTAATAGACAAATCCTTTGCTCAGTGAGTGTCTGCCTCTTCCACCCGTCACACTTTCATTGTTGTCATGTGGATTACTAATCATCCACCCGCTCTCTTTCTCTCCACTTCATTGTCTTCTTTCATTATCCATCTTTTGTGTTGTTTTTGCTTTCATGCGATTGATCTCTGTCCTACTTGCTTGTAGCATGCAAACACAATCGTACCGAACCTTTTTATCTATCCATCCTCTCTCATTTTCCTCACTTTTCTGCAGAGTTTCAGTGCTATGACTTTAACACAACAAAAGAGAATGGTTTGCTCTTGCCACGAGTGTGGAATTGCCCTATTAAGTGGCTTCAGTGGTATCGGACAGCCTTCAAAAGGGCGACAGATTAAATGAAGTGGCACTATTAGAGGAATAGTTGAAGAAATGGGTACGAGAGTTAAAGATTTTGAAGCAGAAAAGAAAAAAGACTTCAGTCAAGCAAGTCAATTTTACTTCTGCAGTGTCCTGAACTGAACTCCGAAAAGTTTGATCATCACATTCAATGCAACATGATATCTCTGATATCTAGTCTTAGTATTGTTAGCCTTTAATTGTGTACTGCATGTTTGTAAGTTTTTAGTTTCATATTGATGTTGATAACTGTTTTAAAATGTTATAAATGGATAGTTCAGAATCTAAATTGTGATTAGATTTGTCATGTTTGAAGTCGAAATTTCATAATTTCTGAAAAATTTAATTTCACATCTATCCTGACTAAAGTCCATTAAATTCCACATAAAGTGGACCTTAATGTTACCTGTTTTGTCAATGTTAAAAATCTTTTTAATATATCAATAAGAAAGTACGACAGGCTTTTACTCAAGTCTTTATCACTTAATTTAAATTAAGCAAAACAAAATGACAAATGTTTACTTTCACAAGCTGTCTGCTATAGGCTTGTAGTAAGCTGTCTCTTGTTCAATTATGTAACAAAAAATGTCGGGAAATGACACCTCTGGCCATTCCGTTGGGTCGTTTGTCCAGTCACAGATACAGTACGGACAGTCCGACCCAATACGGCTGAGTTTTTATACGTATGTTGCTCTGTTGAGCGGCAGAAATGATTTTATGTAGGCCATTCTGAGTCAACACCATGCTTTTCCAATGAGGGGGAAAGGACTGTTTTCCCCCACGCCGACTCCGCCCACATAGCTATGACGCGACACGATCAAGTCTGTCGTCGACATTAAAAGCGCTATTCTGTTTGTTAACTTGAGAGCCTGGTTTGTGAATACAAGCTGAACAAATCTGTGTGTATATTGTTTGTAAAAACTCAAATTAAGCGTCAGTTACTGCAGTCCGTAACTTTTTTTGGTTAAAAATGATCCGAAATCAATATTTGAGCAAGTACAAAACCAGCCAGTGTTCAAAACTATCGCCTTACTTTAGCCCGATTCACAACAGTAAGCTTATAATAATGTTTTCTAATTTGAGTGGTATGGGTAGGTTTTCGCGGTTTTCAAACAGAGATGGCGACAAAGAGGTAAAACTTACGGACTGCAGCTTTAAGAAATGGAGATATTCAGTCCCAGTGATTTTACTAAGGTTGATGTCAGCATGAAATGGAAATTCACCCTATTGAATTTCCTTTTAATTCCAGTGATCTTTATTTATTTATTTATTTATTTTAACCATGCCTAAGGGGTTTTACATCATTTTGAACAAGACACTTAACCGTGGTAGAAATCTTTTACCACAGCACCACCAAAAATTATGTTCAACACATTTAACACAACTTGAATTGTGTCCTTTGTCACATGACTTCTGTGGTTAGTTATGCTATCCATTTTGTATGTTTTTATAAAATATAGGTCAGATACTGAAGCCAGACTGGATTAGAAGTCATTGTAAAATAGCTGATTTGTGCAAAATTGGTCACAGATCAATTGAAAGTAGTTAGCATAGTGCCATATTTAATTTTATGCAAATGAAAATAGGACCGTGAGGGGCAACTAATCAGAAATGTAATCAGTTTCAATTGTGTTATATGAAATTTGGCATCAGTCCATTTAAATTCCATATTAACATGCCAGTATTTCGCATATATAACAATCTTTGATCAGTATGTTGCTTGGTACCAGTAAACACCATATAGTTGGGCAAAAAACGGAATTGTTTATATTGTTTATTTTGCCTATCAGTATTAATACATTAGTCGTTTTACCAGCATTAAAATCGATTACTTGCATGTTACAGTGGGTCTGATTTGTAAAATGCAAGCTGAACGAATTTGTACAATGTTTGTAAAACCTTGAATTAATCTTCAGAATTTACGTTATTGATTTAAAAAAAAATTCTGTGATATTTTGCTGATGTTGAAGTCAACTCACTCTATTGAATTTCCATTTATTTTCCATCTATTTTCTAAACGCATCTTAACAATCTTATTGTGAACTACCTGTAAAATCTGAAATGCACTACCTTTCTTGGCTTGCAATTTTAACACAATAACACTAGCCTATAGGTAAATTCCACGTAGTTCTTATGTAGTCAGATGGAAGTGCTGAGAAGTGATTCCCACTGGAAGTCCTTGAGGGAAAAGGCTCTTGAATGGAGCTAATGAAGGAGGCTGTTGAGTCTTTGAAGCACTGAACATCTTTGTAAGCATGTTATCTACAAATATGCATTACAGAACAGTACGACAAGCTTTCACTCTCAATGTTTCAGGTCTCAAGAGGTGTTTCGCCAAGCCATGTCTTTACCCACCATGCGTTTGGAGGTGCTTCCTGTCGCCAACAGGCTCCGGTATGAGAAGAGCCTCATTGGGCAGCTTTTCAACAACACTGAACCAAACCCTGTGGTCCCTAAAGTCAAGAGTCCTTTCTTGGTTCATAAACTCAAAAGCAATACATCTACGCCATCTCCAGAGCCTCCTGCCTCACAAATCCCACCCCAAAAGGAGGAGGAGATTCAGCCTGCAAGACACACCCCCATTGAAACAGATCATCGCAGAGCCACGCCTTCTCCTCCGGTCAGCACGTCACCGACCCTGAAAGATCGCAGTGAGAGCCCCGCCCCCAAAAAGACCCCCGCCCTTGCCACACTAGTTAATATGATCAACAAAAAGCCTGGGAAGAAAATGAAGATCGATTTGAAGAAAGGTAAGCTGGATGAGAACTCAAAATTGAATGGGTTCAACTCAAAATTGAGCCCATTGAATTTAAAAAAGTTCTAACAATCATTCTTTCTGTATCATTTTTTCACTCAAAAATATGCCACATTATGCAAGTAAAATGGGTTGCGAAGGTCATTTCATGTTGATTTCAAGCTTGAATAGTGGAAACTCCATCCAGTTGACCACAAGGTGCCATCGTGAGCCCTGTCAAAACTGCTGCATAGCAACGTCTTCCTTATTTTCTGTCCTCTCTGTCTGTATCGCTCCTCTCAGCTGATTGACAGCTGCTATTGTTTAAAACTTTAATGTCAGGTGCTCTTCTGGGACTCGAGATTTCATCATTTGCCATCTTTACTATGCTGGATTGGCTGCTATCCTTTATGACATCTCTCTCTCAAGTGTGTGTGAGAGAGAAACAGAGCAATTCTCGACTTCAGTAATCACACGTGTCCCTGCGGACGAGAGACTCGTGAGAGAATCGCTTTCTTAGCATGATTCTTTAGGCCTTTTTTTTCTTTCTTCTCTTACTGCGTTTCTGAATAAATGTGCTTTTAATATTTTTATTTTTATTTTTATTTACTGCTTTTAATTTATGCAGATTTTACAAACAAAGAAATAAATAATAAACAAGTAAACGAACGAATGAATGAATGAATAAAAAGTTTGTATAAAAAGTATTTAGTAGTAGTATAGTCTTAACAGTAATAAGAACTGGAATATTTATTTTCTTAATATAAAAATCATAAAATATAAATATTTATGCAATAAATTCTAAACATAAATATAGCTTTTAATGTAATAAATATAATGCAATAAATATAAAATGCAATGAATATTAAAACAAATAATATGTATACAATAACTATAACTAAATATTAGTATGTATGCAATAAATATACAAAAATTCTTATGAAATAAATATAAAAAGAACTAAATATTAATATTTATGCATTTAAATATAAAATTATAATTTTTTTCTCCTTGATTTTTGGATGAAATGTGACCCTGACATATTTCTGTGAGATTCACTCTTCCATCTCTTTTCAGCTTCCACTTCCTCTAATCAGTTTTTTTCAGACCACACCCTTTGTCATTGATTCTATCGCTCCTCTTTCACACAATCTCTCTCTCTTTCTCTTTCTCTCTCTCTCCTCATCCTGTATCCTGCTCTCTGCATCTCTAGTCTCCTGTAGATGTGTTCACGTGTGAAATTAAAGTGCAGAGCTGTCTAATCCCCATAAGGAAACATTTATCATCGTGCAGGGTTGGAAACAGAGGTGTTCGAACCTCTGCAGAGAAATTGACAGTTTAAACACAGGTTATCAGTCCAGATTGCTTGAAAGCTATCATCAGCCTACCACTGACCTTTTGACCTGATCTTGGATCAGATAAGCTGGATACAGTCTGTAAAGATCTATGAGGGTCATAACGGGTAACTGATGCTTGTATGCTCTCATTAAAGGAGTCATATGATGCGATTTCAAGTTTTCCTTTCTCTTTGGAGTGTTACAAGCTCTTGGTGCATAAAGAAGATCTGTAAAAGCATGTCAACATATTCTGTTACACCAAATACACCAAATAATGATTTTCACCATCTTGCTCTCCAGACATCAGTATCCGCTATTGAAAAACCCATATTGGTAGTCAGTAATTTCTAAGCCAGATTTCAGTGATAATAGTGACACTCTGTTGACAATGAAGTAAATTTCTAATGAAATGTACTAGGAGTAGATAATTGAAAATTAATGCAATAATATTGGACAAAGTACTTTCATGTTTTATGGTTTCTTTCATGTCAGTTACAGACTTTTAAACAAATCCGTAATTCAAAAATTCGTAGTGACAAAATTTGAATTCAGATATTCAAATTTTGATTTTGAGAAGCCTTTTAAATGTAACTTTCATTGGCAGTTTTCTTTGCCAAACCTTTAAATTGAATTTTCATTGGCTTTCATTGTTCATTGTTCATTGGTTTTCTTCGACAAATATTCAAATAAAAAAATCTTGAAAATGAAAATTAAAAACTTCCAATGCTACAAACCTCTTAATAAAAAAATTAAAAAAGTTGAATATTCATTGCAAAAAAAAAAAAAAGTTAAGTTTTTTCATTGTGACAAGCTTTTACAATAAACTTTCACGGCCAGTTTTTTTTTTTTTTGTCAAGTCATTTAAGTTGAACATTTGCATGTGTATTTTTTCTTTGCTAGTAAAACAACAACAATTAAGATATGAGCTTTTAAATTATATATTTCGAGACTCGACTTTATAACTGTTGACATTCTTAACCCTTCATCTAAAAGCTAGTCAATCTGTTTTGACAAGTTTATATTCTACATCAAGTTATGTGAATGACCAGAAACCTTTAAGTTTGCTACATTTTCTCATGGCATGACGAAAATGATCAATTCACTTGGTATGAATAGTATTGAGGTGAAATCCAAGGCAATATTCCTTGCTGAAAATTGAGCCTTAGAATGTTAGCAAGTCTTCAGGACATTGTGGAAGGGATTTTAGTGGAACAATTACATCGTTTTTCAACACGTCTTAAAAAGATCTCAATTTTATTTGGTACTACAGTGAGTGTGAACTGTGGGTGTAAATGCAAACACACTTTGTCTATGACTGGAACCTTAGAATGTTGCCTTAGAATGTTATTTATTTTACATCATACAGCAGGATAAAATATGTTCAGTTCAGGTTTTCTGGTTCACTGGGTCATTAAATACATGGTTAATATTTCTGGCCTTCCTCTGTCTGCAGGTACGGAGGGCCTTGGATTCACCGTGGTAACCAGAGACTCGTCCCTTCATGGTCCAGGACCCATTATGGTCAAGAGCATCCTGCCCCGCGGAGCTGCTGTTAAAGACGGACGGCTCAAGTCTGGAGACCGTATCCTGGAGGTATTACATGCATCCTGCGTCAATGCAATCATGAGAGCACAACCTGAAAAATACGAAATCACAGTTTATTTATAGGACATTAAATTATGCTATTCCTCTCCCACCAGTCATGCAATTAAAAGTTATTGTTTTAAATGCAATTTAAAGATATTGTTTCAGAAAGCTTAATGCGTCTTTGACATAATTAGGCCAATTGTCTGTCTTGTATTGAACCTGGCCATGAGATGGAATCGACACTGACATGTTTTCCATCTCTGAAAAATGGAAATGGAAATTTTGCTCTCCATTTTTGGCAGTTACAGGAAATAGCTTTCTCTCTTTCTCTAGGTAAATGGAGTGGACATCACAGGACGCACACAAGAGGAACTGGTGGCTATGCTGCGGAGCACCAAACTGGGAGAAACCGTGTCTCTGGTAGTTGGAAGACAAGAGGAGCTTTTGCCCAGAGAACTGGTAAGACCATTGTCAAACATCAGGGCATAACGATGAGGTAATTAACAGTACCTCAAATTATATCTAAAAAACACAATGTTTATATAATGGAAAAAGTAAAACTTTGGTTTGAAAAAATGGTAACACTGTATTTTAAGGACCAGTTCTCACTATTAACTAGTTGCTTATTAGCATGCATATTACTAGCATGTATAAAGCACATATTAAAGCTTTATTCTGCTTGACCATATTTTAGATCCCTTAAAGGGGTCATATGACGTTGCTAAAAAAGAACATTATTTTGAAAGAGAGAGCGACTGCTGCAACAATACTACAGCGAGAATCAAAGTTACGCCTTCTTTCTTTGCGTAAACATTTGGGCAGCGTTATGCAAATCTTCCCACACAGTGACGTAGACATGTGGGGGAGTGTTTAAACGAGGTGTATTAGGAGGGCGTGGGCGAGTCTTAACTTTTATAAAGAATATCTCTTTGAGTTTGAGACTGTAGTTTTTGCAACTTTAGAGGTCTTATCTAATCACGAACAGCTTGTAACACTCCAAAGAGAAAGGAAAACTTTAAATCGCATCATATGACCCCTTTAATTCTACCTCATAACTAAACTTAACTTAACTACCTTACTAACTATTAATAAGCAGCAAACTAGGAATTTGAGGCCAAAGTTGAAGTTAATAGTGAGAATTGGTCCCCAACCTAAAGTGTGACCAAAAAATTATAATAATAATATTTGATGTACACACACACATACATATATATATATATATATATATATATAAATATATAAATGCTGCTGTCAAATAAAATGGTGCATAATGGAATTTAATGGTTATTTGTATATATATTTTACATACACATTTTATGGCAAATCCAAACAACCTTATAAAACCCCAGCAATCCCCTCTTTTACATTGAACGTGTCGAATCAGCTTGTGACAGGAACTTGTGCACACAACAGCGGTTTAACAGGAAGCCTCGGGCCAGTGCTGGTCCATCTCCTCTCACAGATGTTACATGTGGTGCGTGTTGAGAAACTAAACAATGAGTAAAAATGCAATTGTGGCACCCCTAGATCCCTCTTCAAAGGAAGAAAGACCACATCCCTTCATTGTGTCCCTGTCTATACCACTGATCTATATAATGACTAGATTGCTCATTGCGGTGTAAACTGCTGTCAGGCGGTGAAGCCACCGGAAGTGTTCATACCACCATCTTACTACCGACAGCTAATAACTTGACCTAAAATCACCAGCGTATCAGTCACACATGATTAGTTTTTAGGATATGTGTATGTAAATTAATTGTTACTTCAGATATTATCTCCAATGTTTATGGTCTTTTCGGACAGGATAAGCGCTATATTGAAATTGTTAAATAGTTAATCATTGAAATAGTTGCTGACACAGTTACTGTGGCCTTTTACTAGCATTACCATTTAGGAATAAAATGTTACGTATGTATTTTTAATGAATTATTAATTTAACCAATGTTTAAATCATTAACTGCATCAAAATGAATCATTGTTAAAACATTTGCAGATAGCCGACTGTACGAATAAAAACTATAAAACAACATAATTACATAAACAGTGAAGGTGAATTAAGGTATGCTTACACAAAGCATAAATGTTTATTCAATTTGAGCACTTTTTCATTTGTAATACATATGTTGAGGATCTCGTCCGTCCTATGTTTATCATATTCATGTTCACTTCTGTAATGAATATGAACGTGACTTAATTTATTTAGTTCCTGACATTAAACAAATAACCATTTACATGCATAGGAGGTTTGCGTTGTAAGAATGTACAGTGATACTTCAGATATGAAAACACTGATTCGTTTTCACATTAAAATCGTACGTTTTCCTGTTAATTCAATAGAATGTATGGGAATACTAGGGGATACCAATATGGCGGCATGGCGGCTTCACTTTTATGACGTCATGAGCAATCCAATTTTCTATTATAGATCAGTGGTCTGTGTGTATTTATATTTCATTCCAATCAATGAATGCATCCAAACCTGAAATATCCTCCATAAACTCCCACCTTCACACAGTATTCGTCCCACTGTCCACCACCCAGTGTCAGCACAAAATATACCATCTTAATTCCCAAAGGTGGATTTGGCTAATGATCAGCCATTAGCAAAAATAAAGCATATTTTATAACGGCCTGCTAGAATCCAGCAGATCTCTGGACAGGAAACTAGCTTACACCATAAATGTCCATCCTGTTAACAGCTACATGGTGTCCGTTTGGTGAAGGATAAGTCACGTGACCTGTGATTGTTGACAGAGTTAAAGTTTTGTTTTTCTGACTGAATCCCTTTGGGATCTGGTCGCTGTGACTGGACATCCTGGATGTGTGAAAGCGAGTGTCACCAAAACGCCCGGCCTTGCTGGAAAATCCATCTAAATCCATCTTACGCCACTTAGCTAGTTATGAACTGGCATAGGGTGGTCTTGCACTGGTCAGAGCTGATTATTAATCGGTAAGGTACTTGAAAGAATACCATGGTACATTCCCAAAAAACATAGTCATTTTTATTAATTTACATTTTGTTATTGTACTGGATTATCAGCCTTTGAGGAGCTTTGAGGAGAATGAAGCAATAGTATATATATATTATTATAATTATGTATATATTTATATTTTTAATACAGATTTAATTTTTCCACAATACATTAGAATGTCCTATTTAATTTTATTTTTTTCTGAGCAAAAAATAATGACTTACCATTTTTTCTAAAGACACCCACTAAAATGTCATTAATTTTCAACAATAGCTCATATACCAAAAAAATCTCAAGAATCTTTAGATGACAATTTTACATTTTTACCAATCTTTGCCACTATCTTTTAAACCACTAGGTCAGAATAAGTATGTTGTTTCATTTGTACATAATATATATCTGTTAAGCTGAATAACGATGGAACATTATTTCACCCATATTTTGGCATTTTATTTTCGCAAATGTTATTTGAAACATTAAAGCAAACACTTTTCTTGCATTTAATATGCGTTGTATATTTGTAATCTGATTAACTTGTGGTGGAGTCACATGTTTCTTTTAAACAGCATATGAATCATTGTGTAGAAGTAAATTTTCAATTATCAGACATATACAAGAGTTTGTGGGCTTGTTTTGTAAATGTATATTAATGAGATTGCTTTGGCAAACTATAAATGTCTAAAGATGACCATTGCATTAAAGCTAAGCCGACTGGATTTGGCATCAATTCGTCATGTACTGCAAGGGTAAATGAATGCAGTAGTTGGAATTAATGTCTTCAGCAACATATTAATTATACCTGATAGCCTGCAGCAATAAATCAGCCAAACATCAAATTAAATTGTAATATAAGATTTTTTGTGCCCACTAGACATGCATTTAGATCTTTTCTTGATTTTTGTGGTGTTCACTAGACAAAGTACACTTGGTGTATATTCAAGATAAATGATCTAAAATCAAGTCTTTAGTCGACCAATGTGTTTATCTGAGTATATTGAATCTAATACCACCACTGTAATGTGATATTCTCACAGGAAATTTGCTGTAAAAGCTGAATATTTATTTTTGTAACTAATTTGCAGTCATAATTTAGACTCTGAAGGGCCTGGATAGTTTGATGTTTGAGCTGCTGTTCTCCACCCTTTGATTCAGATTTCTGTGAGGATGCAGGGGTCAGACAGCACATTGCACACAGTTGCACTCACAGAAAGAGAGGTCGTCCACGGGGCTGATGGAGCATTTAGATGTCCTTGAGATGGTCTTAATAATAATTCCTCTTCCTACACACAGGATGTGTCTTGCTTTGTCATGACCTATTTAATTATATTTGTTATTTGGGTCATGGCCACTTCTTTCCAAACCCAGTGGACTTTTTAAAAAAGCTGTGAGTAATGTAAAAACTGTAGATGCTTTCATGTAATAGCAAACGGCCTTCTGACATCAATTCTAATTTAGGTCAGTATCTGGGTTAAGGTGCATTGACTTCTAACCAGGGCATCAAAACGCATTTCCCATGGATTATTTTTGTGTAAATGATACAAAGACTTCCTCTCAAAATTCGATGTGAATCACACTGTAGTTTCACGATTAGTGCGGTAGACTGAAGTTTGGTTTTTGTGACGCATATCTTTTCTTTGTGAAGGTGTTGGGGTGTTATGAGACTGCTTCCAGAACAAGAGGAGAATAATGTTGCTCAGATGTTGTAAAATGGAAAATGCTTTTGCTAAGAATATCTTAGTTACGTTTCATTGATGTATCAGTTTTGTCTGAGGTGTTTCTCCTAAAATATATATTCTTTTAATTAGTAATATTAATGTTGCTAACATTTATTAATATTTTCAGTTAATATTAATGGATTTTAAGTTAAATGTTAATTCCTATTATTATAATATATTATCCTATATTAATATCAGTTACTAGTGTGATGTTAATAATGTTTATTCCTATTAGGTATTAATTTGATATTATTATTATTACTGTTGTTATTATTATTTGAAGAAGACAAAGAAGGAATAATGTTTGTTACTGTTGATATTAATGATGTATTATATTATAGTGTCAATATTAGTATACAGTCAATTAGTATCTTATTAATGTTAATACTTAATAATATTATCAGTTAATATGAATGTAATAATAATATCAATTGACAATTAAGTGAGATTAATATTAATAAAAGCATTCATATTAATATTATAATTTGTTATCATATTAATGTTAATTGTTATTAATACAGTTATTAATTTGTTTAACTTATTAATATTAATTGTTTATTATGTTATTATTTTTCATGTTTTAATAAGAATAGTAGTAGTAGCAGTAGCAGTTAATATTAATGTTAATTACTAATTCTAATGTTAATATTGTTATTAATATAGAGTTGCAGGTGCCCAAATATGGTGGTTTTTATTTGCATTGCCCATAGGCCTGTGCTTATCTGTCAATGCTGTTTAACTCACTCCGCTTATTCCCGACACGGATCCTTTTTTACTCTATAATGACTAGATAACCGCTGACCTTTTTTGCCAGCTTTTACTCATGTACATTAGTTAAAACAGTCCATCATATTCAAGTCAAGTCAAGTCAAGTCTGCTTTATTGTCAATTCTTCCACATGTACAGCACATACACACAGAGAATTGAAATTGCGTTACTCTCAGACCCTTGGTGCATACAGATAACACTAACAGTAGAACATAAATACAGATATACAGATTAAATATAAAATACAACTATACAAATATACAAATAAGGTAAAATGTAAAAAAAATATATAAAAAAAAAATAAATAAAAAATAAATATAAAGCAGCACACGCCAGATAGAGTGCAAACCAGTGAAGTAAACAACAGTGCAGATATAATAAATAGTAGTGCAAAAAGAGCTTATTTAGACTGATTAAAGTGACTGTGTGTGTGTTGGGCCTCCGGAGCAGACCGAGATCCCGCAGCTCTTCGGCGTGCGCAGAGTTTAACTCTAAAAATGTGGTTCTGCCGACATCGAGCAGAAACTCACGACTGTATGCGCGCTTAGAGACAGATAGATGCGACGAATACGTACAAAAACACTGTGACTCACAAGACAAAAAACACGAAAACACCTTTCTGTCGGGAGAGAGAGAAGCCGCAGCGTGTGAACGCGCTGCCATCTTTTTAAGATCGTGGCGTTCCGCAAAGGGAGACCAGCGAGGCCCAGAGAGAGAGGCACGGGCTGGGTTAGGTAAGGAGAGATCTTGTATGTATGAGAGCATATTAGTGTGTATTTGCCCTCAGGAGGTCTTCATGTGAAGCCTGGACCTCAAGTGTCGGTAGGACCACCAGAGCGGCATCAGACAATCTGATATTCTCGCTGGGACCAAAGTTTGACCTCACTTACAAACAGGTCTTTTATTGTGTGCTAAAACTCTGATTTGTTGTCCGCCTCAGGCCATGTACGACACATTATCTTCAGTAAGAGGACGTGCTAAAAGGACTACTTGAAGCTTTGCCCCATTGGCCCTCCTATTTGTCATCATTAGTTCTTACTTAATGCTTTTTGCCCACTCTGTGCTCCTACAAAGTCATTTTTGTTTCTTTTTCCTCTGGCCCATTTCCACAGTAGCTTAGCAACAGGCTAATGCTGTTGCTTAATGTGGTTTCCAGGAGGATGTCAGTCACATTTAGGCATTGCACTTTATTCTAGGTCTTTTTGCCATGTTTTATTGATGTGATAGTGGATAGAAAAAGGAAATGATGTGGAGAAAAGGTCAAAGACCATGGCACTGACACCCTTGATCTCTTTGATAGGATGTTTAGGAGTCAAAGAATGCAAAAAGAGAAGTGAAATGTTTGAATAGCTGTGTGTGTGTAAATGTGTTCAGTATTGAGTTATTAGTCTTAAATTTTGCTCCCAAACCCCTCCCTCCTAAATTAATCTCTGACAAAAGCTTTTTATGTTTCCTTTTGAACTGACACGTTCTCAACGCACCCCCAACGTGTTTCCTGCCTCTCCATTAGACATGCATTCATTCCGTCCTAATCCTACTTTATATATTCATCAATCATTGGTACATTTGGTATCTGGCTTTATTTTAACTGGGATCCATCTCTAAAATAAACACTTTATTGCATTATTTGAAAGCAATTAGTACTTTTATTCAGTGAGGATGCATTAAATTGATCAAAAGTGACAGTAAAGACATTTAGAATGTTACAAAAATTTCTATTTTGAATAAATGCTGTTTTTTTGTTTTGTTTTGTTTTATACATTAAAAAAAATCCTGAAAAAAATGTATCACAGTTTCCACAAAATTATTAAGCAGCTGTTTTCAACATTAATAATAGTAAGAAATGTTTCTTAAGCAGCAAATTAGCATATTAGAATGATTTCTGAAGGATCATGTGACACTGAAGACTGGAGTAATGATGCTGAAAATTCAGCTTTACATCACAGGAATAAATTACATTTAAAATATATTCATACAAAAAGCAGTTATTTGAAATTTGAATAATATATTGCAATATTACTACTTAAAAATACTTTTTTTTGATGAAATAAATGCAGCCTTGTTGGGCATAATAAACTACTTACAAAAGCTTTTTTTTTTTTTCAATCTTACTGACCCCTAAACTTTTAAACTGTAATGTTCCTTCATCTCAAGATTTTCATCTAACTACATCCATTATCTTATTGAAATGTGTTCCATGTTCAATACATGTTAAACTCTATCGACTGCATCTGTGACATGATGTTGATTACCATTGGCAATAATTTTGACTCATCTCGTAGTCTGTAAACGCAAGCAAAAATTACATGTGCAGTAATGCAGTTGTAGTCAGTGGGGCAAATCAGTTTCTAACCTTTATATAATGTGTTTTTTCTGGATGTTTTGTTTGATATTCTGTCTCTATTTGTTAAAATAAACGTACCATAAAAATTACAGACCATTCAGTTCTTTGTAAGTGGGCTAATTTGATATTCTGTCTCTATTTGTTAAAATAAACCTACCATAAAAATTACAGACCATTCAGTTCTTTGTAAGTGGGCTAACTTACAAAATCAGCAGGGGATCAAATAAATATTTCCCCCACTGTATGCTGAACTGGGATAAATGCTAAGATTTACTTGGTTTGGAAAGTCAGCTGAGATACTGACCTAAGTGTATGTGTGTGTGTGTTATTTGCAGAAAGGAGAGCCATCAGGTCCGCTTCTGTCTGAGGATGGGCGAGAGCAGCTGATGTTTGAAGTTCCTTTGAATGACTCCGGCTCAGCTGGTCTAGGGGTCAGTCTGAAGGGTAATAAGTCTCGAGAGACTGGAGAAGACCTGGGCATCTTCATCAAGTCCATCATCCACGGCGGTGCCGCACACAAGGTAAAGAGCAGCTCATTCATCCAGCGTCCAGTCATCGGAGAGCTTCAGTCATGAAAGTCCCTCCAATCCTGTGTATGTCACTACAGAATGGCATACAGTTCTGATTTAAATGCAGTTATATACTGCAGTTCATAATACACTACTAAAATATACTGTTGTTCATTATACATGATTAAAAACCTTTAAAAATTAAATAAATGCATTTACTATTATAAATATATAAACACAATATTGTTCATAATACCTTATTGTTTATGCAGCTTGTTAAAAATGTTAAAATATATTAGTATATGTAGAAATGAATGTTAGATTAATAAACTGAAATCAGTTAATGTTATTTTTATTAGTTTTAGTTAATGATAACAACACTGGTAAAAATTGTTCATTGTTTTTTTTCATATTAGCTATTGAATTAACTAATTTAAAGGGATAATTCACCCAAAAATGAAAATTACCCTATGATTTACTCACCCTCAAGCCATCCTAGGTGTATATGACTTTCTTCTTTCAGACAAATACAATAGGAGTTATTTTAAAAAATGTCCTGGCTCTTCCAAGATTTATAATGGCAGTGAGCGGTAGTCAAGATTTTGAAGCACATAAAGTGCATCCGTCCATCATAAAAAGTGCTCCACATGGCGCTGGGGGGTTAATAAAGGCCTTCTGAAGTGAATCGATGAGTTTGTGTTAGAAAAATATCCATATTTAAAACTATAAACTGTAATCTCTAACACCCCCCGTGCCGTGTGGAGCACTTTTTATGATGGATGGATGCACTTTTTTGGATTTCAAAATCTTGACCCCCATTCACTGCCATTATAAAGCTTGTAAGAGCCAGGACATTTTTTAATATAACTCCGATTGTATTTGTCTGAAAGAAGAAAATCATATACACCTAGTGTGTAAATCATGGGGTAATTTTCTTTTTTGGATGAACTATCCCTTTAAAATTATTTAAATTCAAATTGAACTTTTGGTTTACGTAATATTAATAAGAAATTCACAAAACAATATTTTACATCGATACGAAAATGCACATTGATAAGGCATAGTTTTCGGTCAAAGTTAATCGGTCCAAATATCGTCAGATTGATCTGTCTGTAACTAGTACTATGATTAGGGAAGCAATACAAACCTGGCTTATTATGTAGAATATACTGTGTTATGGTAATTGTGATTCACCCAAAGTGGCCTCAAACCACAAAAAAAAATGAGATGAATGATGAAAAGTGGCCTTTTTTGTAGCCTTTTTTTGTGGTTTGGGATATTATAGGTGAACCTCAGCAAATGCTGTTACAGAAATATGAATACTCCTCTCCTCTCCTCAATCAGTCCAGCCAGGCAGCAGGTATCGTGTCTGTGTATAGATAAGGGCACATCTACTGTCTCCTATCAGCAGTGTAATCAAGAGTGGGCTCGCAGGTGGAGCTGCGTCTCTGGCCCCTATCAGCACTCCAGTGGAGAGTGGGTTCAGAGAGCAAGCTGCATCACAGGCCCCCATCAGAGAGACGCTCAAAGAAGTAGATATTTTCAGAGGCTGAGCTCTTCATTTGACTTCTGACGTTCACCCTTATCACTCTCACTCGCTTTTCTGTTGCTCCTCTAGCATTTACACTCCAGGATTGAGATCAAGTGGGCATGAATTTTAAAAACGGCATCCAAATTTCTGGAATAAATTATCGTAATACAGTTATTCTGCCAGTTAATGAATTAAAACATGTCGTAGGCCATCTTGTGTTGTGAGCTTCCAGAGTGTCTGCATGAGAATATTTTCTCAAAAGATGGGCACAAGTGTTTGGGTCCGTTCTGCCGGAGACCCCCTCCCGGGGCGGTATCGGTGGTCTGCGGTCAGTGACCTCGCCCAGGGGTCAGGATCATCCGCTGTGACACAGACTCTCAGGAGTCTTTAGTGGCTCCAGTGGCTTTTAGCTGCTAATCTCTTTTGTTCCTCCTCAGCTGAGTTTTATTTAGGAAACCACAGCTGTGAACCTTAATCCAATTCATTCCGGCCCGGCCTTTTCACGCTAATGATATGCATCTGTAATTGTATCTGAATTCATAGTGGGATGCGTTAAACATTTAACAGTGAGGCTACACTGCATAAATGTTTTTAAATCACACTATAGGGCTTTAGTGTTGGGAGTAGCTAGCTAAAAGTAGCGGTGGTCCTAACTTAACTACATGCTTCAGTGTCACAATAATTCAGTCAGTGTCAAAAAACAAGAAGAAAAAAAAAAAACTTTTTTAGTAACAATTCCCCCTCCCAAATATAGTGGTGGTTAATTGAAAATAACATATTCAAAAGAACAATTAATTCACAAATCAGACTAAAATATCTTTAACTTTAATGCTGTATTTGGAACCTATTTGTTATTCTTAGTTAATTAAGTAAATAATATTAAATAATTAATTCATCTAAATACTACTGTGGATATATAGAATTATATTTCTTATTACATTTACATTTAATCATTTAGCAGACACGTTTATCCAAAGCGACTTACAAATTAGGACAATAGAAGCAATCAATCCAAAAAAAGAGCAACAATATATAAGGGCTGTGACAAGTACCGGTTAGTCTAATGCAGTACACGTAGTAAGGTTTTTTTTTTTTTAATAATAAAAAAAAAATATAAAAAGTTGATAGGAAAGAAATAGAATAGATAGAGCTAGTGTTAGAGGGTCAAGTTATTATTTTTTTAAATTCTAATTAAAAAGAAAACAAGTACAATAGACTACAAAAAGAATAGAGAACGCTAGTTTTAGAAGTTTTTTTATATTATTTTATAATATTATAGTGAAATAATAAAAATGTAAGAGCTTTTAATCTGATTAATCTGCCTATAACTAGTACTATGATATGATTTTTGTGTTACATGATTTAATATTTCATTTTGAATTCATTGTATTTATTGGTAAATTATATACCTTATAGCAAAAATGTAAATGGTTTTAATGTGGTTAGTCTGTTTTACTACCACTATGAATTGTATTTTTATTTATTTGTTTTTTTGTTTGTTTATTTTGTGTGCGTGTGTGTGTGTGTTTTTTGTATTTAATTTTTTTGACTCATTTTGGATTTTTTATATTTAATTTTAAATGCAAACTAAATTTATAGGTAAAAGATATATCTTTTATTTTAGTAAAAATTTAAGCACTTTTAGTCTGGTTAATGCATGTATAACTAGTACTATGATTTGTAGTTTAGTTTTTTGCATTTAACTGAATATATAGGTAAATTATATATCTACCTACTCTCTCTCTCTGTATATATATTAGTATTATAGTAAAAATGTATTTTTTGAGTTTTTAATCCATTAATCTGTCTATAACTAGTACTATAATTTGGGATGCAATAATCCAAATAATAAAACTAATAAACAAGTAAGACCTTTAGAATGATTTGCTCCTCGTTTAGGCAAGGTTTAGTGTAGCTACTAGCTGACAACTTTTTCTAAAGGTTTTTTTTTTTTTCACAGAGGTTAAACTTCTATAAATTCTCAGTGGCTTGTACATGTAACATTGGTGTTTGACTTCTTTTGTTTGCAGGACGGTCGCTTGCGTATCAATGACCAACTGATAGCTGTTAATAGCGAGTCTCTGCTCGGACGGTCCAACCATGATGCCATGGAAACCCTGCGCCGCTCCATGTCGACTGAAGGGAACCTCAGAGGAACCATCCAGTTGGTGGTTCTGCGTGCTCTGGAGCACTCGCCTGTACAGGTATGCCATGTGTATCACTACAGAACGCTTCCCCGCAGGGCCTCTGAACCCGAGTCCCTGGCTGTAGCCCACTGGTATCACCACTATCGGCATCACAGGCTCTCAGGTGACCTCTGAATGTTAGTTATTGTGCACAAGGAAATACACACATATGCTTTGGCTAAAAAGGGATAATGGTTTTAATATCCCCATGATTCTAAGATTTAAATTGAGCTTTAAAGTAATGTTGTTATCCTACAAGGAACAGAAAAATAGGCTTCTGGTTAAAAAAAATCTGTCAATAGATAAAAAAATTTCCTGGTTAAAAAAGCCAAACAGCCCATTTTCCTAAACAAAGCTCTTGAAAATATTTGATTGAGATGTCATTTGAGGCATTGCAGTGTTGTTATGGACATTTGGGGAGGAAGTCCTTGAAATGTAATCATTGTAGATACATTTTCTTTTGACACATTGAAGATTGTTCTTTTCCTTGTTTTTCTTTGACTTCATGAGAAAGCTCTTGTTGTTCTCTCCTGCTTTCTGCTTTTGTACTAACATTGTGCACATGCTTGCATTTTCATTTACTGTTTTCACTTATTAATAGAACATCTAATTGTCCGTGTCTGCTGTTCTTTTGCATTGTTTTTGTATGGCTGAAGTTTTCCTTTCAAATAAAATACTCTTAAATCTTTGCATGCACTCTGTTTCCTTTTAACCCTCTGGGCTTTTCTTCTTGGATCTTTTCTGTTTATTCTGTAAAGGGCATGTGGTGTCATTCATCTCTTTCTTTCGGTTATTGAGAGATTTATCCAGTTTTCACAGTCATGCTGTATTGAACTTGTTAATGTAATATGTACAATACGTTTAAAAGTTTGGGGTCAGTAAGATTTATTTATTTTTAAAGAAATGTATACTTTTATTCAACAAGGATGCATTAAATTGATCAAAAGTGACTAAAGACTTTTACTGTTTATTGCAAAATATATTCAAATAGAAAACAGTTATTTTAAATTGTAATAATATTTCACAATATTACTATTTTACTGTATTTTTGATCAAATAAATAAGAGATTTTGTTCAGAAACAACTTATCGACCCCAAACTTTTGAATGGTAGTGCTATACCAGATCAAATGAATATGAAATTAACAAAAATATAAAATAATAAAGTGGATATGAAGTAACCTAACATGTGATCATTATATTTAAGAATTAGAAAGCATGAAAAACTATTTCAAACAGTACAATTTATACCAAAATCTGAGAAGCACTGCACTTCATCGTATCAGTGCATGTCATTTGAGTCTACATTCTCATAAAGCTAAAATATGTCATGTAAACCTGTACATTTTCACTAAATATATGTTTGAGACATTTAATGTATATAATTCTACTCATGACTCATGAGTTTGTTTAGTTTGTGCTTGCATTAATGGCACACAAGCACATAAGTTTGGCCTTCTTTTAATTTTGTCAGTTTTACGTGTCTCTGTGTTTCAGGGGGTCCGCCATGTTCACTGGGGTCCCCCTTTTGTTAACGTGGTGGTAAGTTTAAGTAGTTGCCGGTTGGTGTATTAAACCTGCATGACGATATCTTTGATAATAGAGGTGGTTTCACATGAAAAAGAAATTGAGTCAGCTAAAACGATGTTTAATTGATAATGGATACGTTTCTGAACTCCAGTAGTCTATGGAACAATGCTGATCATTTCAGAAAATTGGTGTGTTTGTTATCTAGGCATATTTTTTGCATATTTTTCAGAAATAGAGTTATTCAGTGTAAGTTTTTTTCCCTTTCTATTATGGGAAGTAGTGTTAAGGCTAATTTATTGGGGATGAGAATCCATTTCCATGAGTCAGCAGCTCACTAAAATGTCAGTTTTCAGCCAAGAGATAATAGCAGAATCTTTTTTTTTTTTTTTTTCTGATGGAAGCTTTGCTTTCAATCCTCAGAGGTCACATTCTAAGGTTTCTGAATGCTTAGAAATAGTCAAATACAGCTGGGTTTGAGTTTGGAGTCTTTGTATCCAAGGTTAAACTGGGACGGTTCATCAATTCTGGCAGCTCCTCATCACCATCCAATGAATATGAAGACAAATAGTTATTGACTCCACCTTCAGCGGTCTGATTTTGGGTGGGTGGAGTGTTATTGGGGAGCATTAGCTTATCCTCATCCAAATCTGGTGGTGGAAGGATGGTGATCATGCGGGCGGTAATAGCGCTCAATAGAAGGTGATATGCTTCTGAGATGCATTCTTCATTAATCACATGCAGACAGAGCGATCAATATGTCATTAATCATTCAGAAAGAGCTGAGTGATAAGAGAATGAGTGGGAGGTTAGAGAATCAAAAGTGTTTGTGGACAAAACTTAATGGGTTGGTTCCTCAATTCAAGACAAAATACGGAACTTTTGATTAATTTTTTGATTTCAACATTTTAGTAAAAAAAATGTATGTATATGTATGTAAGTATAAGTTAGTGCTGTCAAATGATTAATAGCGATTAATCTCATCCAAAATAAACATTTTTGTTTACATAATATATGTGTGTGTACTGTGTATATTTGTTATGTATATATAAATACACACACATGCATGTATATATTTAGGAAAAATGTTTTGTTTATATATAAAATATTAATATTTATATATAATATTATATATAACAGGTGTGTTGCGTAATATTTTGTGAAAAATAAAATATATATAGAAACATTATAATTGTCTTTACGGTCACTTTTGATCCCTCTCATGCATTCATTCTGAATAAAAGTATTCATTACTTAAAAAATTATTTCAAGCTTTTGGACCCCAAACTCTTGAACAGTAATGTACTTTAGAGTGATTTCATGTGAAACCACCATCTTTGTTCCTCCGTCCTCCATGTTCTTCTCTTTCCTGTTTCTCCACCCAGTCTGCTGTCTAATCTCGTTACCTCGCTGGATCTCCTCTTACTCGGCAAGTTAATCAGATTACACCATGGGTTCCTTGAATAAAAGGCAAATTTTAGGTTTTAATGAAAGGCAGCCCGGGGCTACCCTGAGGGTCCCTAACCTCAGCTCACCCTCACTGCTGGCCGTGTGTGGAGGGGGTGGAGACGTCCGTGGGTTTAGGGTCTTGTTCCAGAGGCTGCTTTGTTGGTTCTTTGTCTTCGACTGTACACCCAAGCTCCCTTGTGATTGTTGTCTGATTAAGACGTGCAGCGCATAGCCTTTGAAGATGTCAGAGAGGTTCTTGTTGTGTGTACGTGTGTGTGTGTGTGTGTGTGTGTGTGTGTGTGTTGTGGAGGTGATATTTAAATGAATGAGAAAATGATCATGTTACAGACGTATTGACTGATGCAAAGAGAAATTAGACTTTGACATTGTCTTCAGATGCTAGTGTGCTGTGAATGCTTGTCAGGGTGTTGCTATGCAGTTGCTAGGGTGTTCTGAGTGGCGACTAATGCATTGTTATGCAGACTCATAGCAAATGCAGCGAACGACATCTCTGCAATTGCTGTGTGTTCAATATGCATTTGGAAATTAAGCATGTGCCAGTTATTTATTTATTTTTTTGTAGACAGATGATTACAGCTAGATTTGTAATGAGAAGCGTTTGTAAACTTGTTCTCACAGAAACTTAAAAGACTTTCCTGCAGTTTTTAAGCCAAAATAACATCTTTACTTGCGAGAGTTAAAGCCCTTAAGCTCATAAATATTGTAATTGTACTACTGCAATGTAAAGTAAAATAATTGTACAGTGAAACTTTTACAATAGTAATATATTTCTGTCTAATGATATTGAATTATTATTACTAGTTTTAATATTATTATAAGTATTATTATTATTAATTAAATTTAGATACTGTTCAAATTTTATGCTCTTAATGTTGTGTCAGTTTTCCCTGTGGTATATGCTGAATGTTTTTTTATCATGACAGCACTAGTTGATAGGGTATATATATATTTTTGCTCTATTGTTTGGGTGTTGTGGGTGGTTGCTAGGGCATTGCTATGCATTTATTTTAATACATTGCTATACGGTTGGCAAGGTGTTCTGAATGTTTCCAGCGCATTGCTGTGTTCTGAGATTTTTTTAGCACGTTGCTATGTGGTTGCTAGGGTATTGTAGGTGGTTGCCTGGGTGTTGCTGTGCATTTGCCGTGTTTTTAGAGTGGTTTAAATGTGTTGTTATGCAGTTGCTACAGAGTTTTGGGCTATGGTGCTGTAATGTGGTTGCCATGTAATTTAAAACACTGCTATGCTGTTAGGTTGCGAGGTTGTTCTGGGTTGCTCAAGGTGTCTTGAGAATTGTTATTTTTGTATAATTTTTTTATTAATAGGTTGATTAAGGCTAAATTTGTTCTCCTCAATAAATCCCACATTTTGAGACGTCATTCATGTGTGTTTAACAAATAGTGCTGCATGTGTTTTGCACCAAAGATTAGTGGTCAGCGGTTTGTTCAAATTAGTGTGAGCAATAGTAATAGTGATCCTTGCCTTAACAAGCCCCACTAATAAGGACGATGCAGCGGTTGGAGTCGGTGGGAGGTGAACACGTAAATCAATAATATCGACTGTTTAACTTGACTTTTCCTTTTTAGTTTCCCTCCGTCTGGATTCTTGCAGTTGCTGTCCCATCATTCTTCAAGTATCTTTTGATATTTTCCTGCCAGCTCTCAATTTATGTGTTAGACACATGCATATAACACGTCAACTGTTGTCAAGGCACTGATCACAGTGAAAGACAGAAAAAGTGTTGCTTAGTCTCAGGTTTTAGAGTCATTTTTTCATGAGAAACAACCTCTGAAGAGAAAGAGAGCTTGAGAATCAGTCCTTTGGTCCATTGATGATTCCTGTGCGTCCTGTAAGACAGCGAGCAGGAGGCAGATGACAAGAATGACATTTCCACATGTAAAGAGTCATCATCCCCACTAATGACTGTCCTCCAACTGAGGCTTAACGCCGGAACAAAAGAACAAGGCTTTCATCTGTTTTTCGCAATGCGGAATAGTACGGTGTGAATGCATTTAAGCACACTTTGATATGGTGATATCCTAATACCTTTCATGTCCATCCAGTCAGTCTGGGCTTTTTTTTTCTTTTTTTTTTACCGTGAGTAGCGTGTTTGTGTGTGTAGCATGTGGTTTGTATGACAGTATAAAGTATGGCATTCCCCCTCGGGGTTGTAGACACCCAGACGGTGACAGCTTTAGCTTCTTTGTCTTCTGAGAAGAATCCATAAGGACGCATCATTCGGTGGCCTCGCGTCTTCATATTGACACGTTTCCGTATCTGTCTTGACTAGTACTCTCTGAAGGGAATGCCTTTGGCTTATGAATATTCCTAACTATGTCATATGGTTGCTTTTATCCATTTGTCATTTACAGTTCCGTTTCAGCATTTTTCCCCCCAGTATTTATATTATATTATATACATATACCAGGGTTGTTCTCTCACAGAAAATCTTTTTCTTTTTTAGTATCTACAGTTTTTCTTGTAAAATGTGCACAATTGTACGCTACCATTCAGCAATGTTTTTTTTCCCCAAGATTTTGTCTTGTATGCTCGCCAAGTCTGCATTTAATTGATAAATAAAAATATCTAAAAAAAAACAAAAAAAAAAACAGTAATATTGTGAAAATTATTATCATTTAAAATAACTTTTCTTTTTGAATATATTTTAAGATGTAATTTATTTCTGTGAGGCAAAGCTGATTTTTCATTACTCCAGCCTTCAGTGTCACAAGATCCTTCAGAAATCATTTAATATGCTGATTTGTTGGTCAAGAAACCTTTCTTGTTAATATCACTGTTGAAACTGGTTGTGCTGCTTAATATTTTTGTGTAAATCATGATTTTTCAGGATTCTTTGATGAATAGAAAGCTCTAAAGAACAGTATTTATTTGAATGTTTTATAACATTAGAAATGTCTTTACTGCCGCTTTTGATCAATTTAATGCATCCATGCTGAATTAAAGTATTAATATCTTTTGAACTTTTGTGTACTTTGCTTACATTCAGATACGAAGCAGCAAGACATGTTGCGCAACTTTTGATGGCAGTAAAAAAAAACACAAAACAAAGTGTTTATTATGAGTATTTACTCTCCATATTTGAATATACTTGAATGTAAATTTCAATGTGTGTTTCAGGGAAGAAAGGTCAAGCAAGTGTAGAAAAAGGTTAAGGATAAGTAAACAACAGAATTATGATTTTTGTGTGTAATTATATACAGTACACCCAAATCACGTCCATTTCCTTAACCTTGTTTTCTGTGCTGCATGGCAGATGTTCCACTTGTTGACTTTCTGACTGCATGAACCCAATATGGGAGTTGGTCAACATGCTTTTGAAATGTCCATATTTGTTGTCAAGACTTTTTCCCAATCAGCATCTTCCAGATCAATGTTTCATTGCTTTTTTGGATGCTAAAATTAATTCTCTACAACTTTTCACCCTCTTCTTTAGGAAAATCAAGAAAGCAGTCAAACTGCCACCAGAAACGACTCTCCTGTTCATCATCTTCCTAACAGCAACCACACCAACAGTTCCGTACCACCATCCACAGCAAGCAGTCGTATGTACGAGCCTTCTTCTGGTAAGTACACACTGCCACTGATTAAATTGCTCTAGGTCGTGACATAAAGTTGCTGTACTATTAATTCCTACTTCGCAGTCAGCTGCAGAATCCAACTGCATCATGTGGTGGATTCCATTGGTGGTCGCCAAATCATGTCCTGTGTGAATGCATCTTAACTTGTTGATTGCTTTCTTAAATGCACACCAAATGATAAAAGTAATTGCTTTTATGTAATGTTAAGTGCTTTCATCCAAATTCTCTCACTGTCAAAGAAACAAATGAAATTGATTAGTGCTCAACAAAAGAAAGCATGAGCATTTGTTCATCATCAACACCATGTGAAGAGTGCTTTGCTTCTCTGTAAGGGGAAAAAATGAGTTCATTTTCTCTGTCGCCTCATTTTCCATGCCAGCGTAGCTTTCCATTAGCTTTTTCGACTTCTACAAGTTGGATATCTGCCCATCTCATCAATAGGGATGAAAAAGCCAATGACGATATTTTTGCTACATTCCCTTCTGCTTTTATGCAACGCGGCCTGACCTTGAAATCGTTAAGCTGATGAAATGGATTCTAAGTGGGCCTTATTAGCATACTCGCAATTGTGCTGAGTGCTCGAGAACGGCTAACAAACTGTTTTAAATTCACACTATTCTTTCCCGGCGATTCTCCAGAGAGTTGCCGTGCCAACACAAAAGGCTTTTTTCCGTGTTTTTTGGGAAACCATCGTTTACTGATTAGCGTCTCTTGTCCGTCAAAGTATGTGACTGTACTTTAGTCGCACAAAGAGGGATGTGATATTTACACACATCTCATTTCAAATTCAGATTGCTTTCCACATTCGCTGCAGTTAGATTTGGTAGAATCTGAAAAATTGAAAACACCTAACTCGGCGTACAAGTGTAGTTTTAATCACATGTTTTTGCCAGCACCAGCATTAATATTTCATGTCACTGCATATATATGACACAGTCACTCTGCACTCGCTTTACGATAAATGGCTAAATGGTGGAAGAAACGGGGACAGTAGTGCAGAAAATTGAGTCGTAATGGAGATATTTCAGACTAGTGCTGCTAACATTGATCAGAACGTTGTGTGGTCATTGAGAAAGGTCTCAATGTGTTTCTCAGACGTTAGATGATTCAAAACTCAGTGAACGTGGTCAAGTGTGTCTTATTCCCCATAATGGAAGGACTTTCATTCAGAAATAACTTACCCTCCTGTCATTTTAAACCTGTATGACTTTCTATTTCTCAGTGGAACACAAAATTATATTGTACATTACTGTTTCCCATACAATAGAAGTGAACTAAAAAACTAAAAATGACAAAAACATGAGTCTTCTGTAGCAAAACAATGGCTTTGTGTGACGAACATAAGCTCTAATAATGGTATATAACTTTAAAACTCATATTTCCAAGCAGCTCTGCACGGATCCCATGGCGGACGACAGGAACTTCTGGAGGAAGATTACGATGAAGACGGTTTCCCCCCTCCACCTTCTGATCTGGACCTGCTGGAAACAAACCCTCCGCACAAGCACCAACAAGATCGGTTAGTTATTGTGCTCAAAGAGTAAAGTTGGAGATAATACATTTCTTATCGTGAAACCAAATAATCTGGTACTTTGATCAGTGCTCAGTATTGTGTCCTGAAGCCTTGTTTCAAAGTCTTGAAAACACAAAGATACCATGCAGAAGAGTTATTTATGCCATTATCTAGTTGTACCATCAAATATTCGGTCAAATTGCACATTTTATCCACGTACACTTACATATTTGTATACACACACAGAGAAACATTTATTTACAGGATAAGTGGACATAAATGAAATGAATGTTGGTTGTAAATACTTTGTCATTCAGTACTAAAACATATCAGTAATTAGTTCAATGTATATTATTGCATATTGAATAATTGACTATTTTATCTAATATTTCTGTGTGTTACACTACCGTTCAAAAGTTTGGTGTCTGTACGTTTTTTTTTTTTAAATAAATTCAAATGTAAAATCATTTATGATGTTACAAAAGATCTCTATTTCAAATAATTGCTGTTATTTTGAACTGAAGCAGCACAACTGTTTCAACATTGATAATAAGAAATGTTTTTTTGAACAGCACATCAGCATATTAGAATGATTTCTGAAGGATCATGTGACACTGAAGACTGGAGTAATGATGCTGAAAATCCAGCTTTACATCACAAGAATAAATGACATTTTAAAATATATTCAAATAAAAAAAACAGTTATTTGAAATTATAATAGTATTTAAAAATATTACTATTCATTCAAAAACATTTTACACCCAAACATTTGAGAGGTGGTGTGTTTTTTATGCTTATTATAGAATCAGCAGAGAATGCATAGCTTTTAAAAAGTGTGATATGTGTCTTGTAGGGCTGAAATGGAGCCTGTTTCATATATGATCCACCCCACCAACCAACAAAACCCTCAACGACAGAACAACCCAGATTACCCCACCAACAAGTCCTCCAAGAGCATGGATTTAGGTATGGAAACACACATACACCACCTCCACCAAAAACTACCTACAAAATAATCTAAAAAAAAAAAATCTCTACTAAGATTGTACAGACTCTGTGCTGATAATGACTTAATTTCAATACAGAGCTATTGCAGTGCATTTAGCGCTTGGTTAACTTGGATTATGGGTGGTTAGTGAATAAGACAGGTTTTTGAGGTGACATATTGTGCATTAAAGCCTTATAGACGAAGATTAAAGGTTATACTGAGACCTAGAAGACCTTTTTTTAAGATTTTGCTCTGTATATCTAAACACAGTGAAAACGATTGCAAAATAAAGCCCTATAGCTACACATTTCCCAGTATTAGCCACGGATGACCCCGATAACTGATCCTCTCTTTTCCATCACCGTCAGAAACATGAGGGATATTTCAGTGCTCCACAATGGGAAGTTTTCGCCCGTTTCCAATTACATATCATTAGGGTGGAGTATTGGCTTCAGCGCCACTGCCACTGCGCTAATCTACTCACTGCTGAAAGCTGATTGGTTTTCATTACACACATCTCATAGTGTCGTGCTTTACTGTCATCTTTTATCCCTCATCCAGACTTTTCTTCTCTATTTATTTCTTTATCTCTCTCTCTCTCTCTCTCTCTCTCTCTCTCTCTCACTTTTGTTTTGTTCTTTAAGTTACTGTTTTTTCTGTGTACATTTTTTTTATTAATTATCATTTTTCTGTATAGGCCTTGTGGTCTGTGGTTCAGTTGCTGTTTCTTTTTATCCTTTTTCATTTCTTTTTGTCCTTTTTTATTTCTTTTTGATAAATGTGTACACTATTTAGCTTAAGCTGAAAAATTGAAATCTAAAAATAAAATAAAATAAATGTCCTTAGGGGAAAAAATACATTAGCATTATGTTACATTTAAAATAAAAACATTACTTACAAAGGAAAGGAGTATTATTCTTTATGGGTATATGTTAAAATATAATTTTAATAAAAAATCCATACATTTAGAATTTACTGTGGTGCATATATGTGATTGCCTATGTTTTAAGGTAAATTAATTTTCTGTTTCAAGGCATAACTTACAAAGGTGTACGATGTATGCAAATTTCATCAACGATTTCCATCAAAGTGATTGTTTTTGGACGAGTTTTTGGGTAATGGATTTCCAGTCAGGGTCATAGCTAATGTGACTGAAGGTGGGAGCAATTTCAGACGTTTACTCTAGCATTATCTGCCGTTAGCGTAATACAGGTCATTTATATCCAAATGCAAAAATAGCCAAAATATGTATTATTAATCTTAATTTACAAACATTCTACAAACCTTTACAGTAATCTATCCATCACCCAAGGGTCCAATTTTCTTATCTTCAAGGCACGCAATTTCAGTCTGGCTAATGTTTTCCTGTGTTATTGCGAAACGTTGAAAGACAAAGGTTTTCCTCAGTCAAGCGTGGTCCCTGTGAGAGGTTTGGCTGGAGTTCTGGAGGCTAGCGTTTGGAGTTCAGAGTTTTGGCTCAGCTTGGGTCTCTCTGAAAGAGGTTTATTCTGCCAGTCGCATCATTAGCAGCTGTATGTTTTTCTGGGCAGGAGTTCATGTGAAAATGCTCTTAATTTCTCATTTGCTGATTGCTTTCAGGCCATTTACCTTTACTTTTATGCAGAAGTATAACACACCAGCCAAATTTGGTCTTATCAGAATATGTATAACTAGATTTTTATTTTTCTGCATAATATTTTAGTGAAAAAAAAAAACACATTAAATGCTAAAGTGTTTAGGGTGGTTGCCAGGTCATTGTTAAACAGTTGCTACTGACTGGTTTCTAGGATGTTTGGGGTGGTTGCTAAGGTGTACTACATGTTGCTGGATGTTCTGGATGTTGCTGTGGTGATTTGGGTGATATCTAGGCCATTTTGCATGTTGCTAGGGTGTTTGGGGAGGTTGCTGAGGTATCGCTATTAGAGCCCAACCGATATGTTTTTTTGGGGGGCCGATACCGATATTAGGGAGTAAAAAAATAACGATACTGATATATCGGCCGATATTCTTTATGTTCAGGTTATATTTAGTACAGTATAGTCAAAAGTTTGGACACACTTCCCATTCGTGTGTCCAAACTTTTGACTGGTACTGTATATAGAATACAGTATATAGCCTACATAAACAGAATATATATACATAAACACATTTTTTGCAATGATAACTCAAATGTGGTGATCAAACACTTATAATGATGTGACAAACATAGGCCTATGTAGTGGAGGCAGGGTATTTAACAATTTAACAATAAACTTTATTATTCAAAATGAGTCTGACATCAGTGCACTTAACAGTAAACTTCCCTTCACTTATTATAAATAACTTAAATAACACGAATAGAACAAAATATATATAACTTGAATTAAGAAATTAAACAAGGTAACTGTGTAGTTGCCAGTAGCAAACAATGGAGCGCGCTCTGCTGGACAAACTAAGCAATTACACCATTCAGAAGCATTTAATCTGCGTTATATGTTCTGTAAAAAAAAATGTTCATATCGGCGGCATATTCGCCGATACCGATATATCGGCGACATGCTCATATCGGCTAACCGATATATCGGTCGGGCTCTAATCGCTATGATGTTTTGGGTGGTTGCTAGGGTGTGCTGCATGTTGCAAGGGTGTTTGGGGTGTTGCTAGCATTGTCAGGGTTGTTTCTAAGGCATTTTGGGTGGTTGCTAGGATGTTCTGGGTGTTGCTGTGTTGTCTTGGGTGGTATCTAGGGCGTTTTGTATTAGGGGTGCTCCGATCAGGAATTTTGAGACCGATCACAGAAAGCAGTATCTGCCGATACGATCACCGATACCGATCTTTTTAAAGCCTTCTTTTTATCATGTAGAATTATTTATAGTAAGACTTCAACCAGGAATTTTAGACATTTATTCAGGGCCTGAATTTCATTTTTGAAAATGAATTCCCCTCTTAGGTGACTCTTGTGAGAGAGGATTTTTTTAACTCTTTCTCCGCCAGCATTTTTGAAAAATGTTGCGAGCCACCGCCAGCGATTTTGATGATTTTCACTAAAATTTGATGGCCTCCAGTATATTTTGCTGTATGAATATTTGAATTTGAATCAGTTTTATTCTAGCTTAAAGCATTCTTTTTTTATCAACACTTGAATATAGGTAAGTTTCATGAAAAATGCATAATTTTGAGCAAAAAGGTGAGAAAATCAAATTTTTTATCAAAAACTACATCTGGATAATATTCAGAACGATTATCAAAGCATAAATCCAGTAAATCGCTTCCATCAATACCTCCAAAGCTTGCACAGACATATACCACTTCCTGGATCAACATTTTAGTCTGTAACATTATGCAGTTTTCATTTATATGCTGTCTATCGCTGATGATCGCATTATTTTTCATATGCATCTGTTTACATAAGAGATCGCTAGTTTTTCCATCCTGTTCACGTGTGTTTTTGTTTGGGAGGTTTTGCACTCGTTCAGAAGATGCGTAATAGCGCCCCCGAGTGTATATCAGTGAAAACACAAAAAGCCGTAAAAACTCGTCTTTGGGGGGGAAGCGTTTTCTTGTAAAAGACGAGATAACTCGTCAATGGCGGGGAAAGAGTTAATTTGAGGGGTGGAGGGGGGCATTTTTTAGATATTTTTCAAAAATATATATTTATCTTTTTATTTATCTAATTTATTTTTTGTTTTTACAATCGTGCAATTGTTGCACAATAGCATTATAGAGACCGCCGATCAATCATCCCAAAGCGATTTTCGGCCGATAGTGATTGGTAGCCGATCAATCAGAGCACCCCTATTTTGTATGTTGCTTGGGTGTTCGGGGTGGTTCCTAAGGTAATGCTCTGCTATTTTGTTGATTGGTGGTTGCTAGGACATTTTGCATGTTGTTAGAGTGTTTAGGGTTGTTGTTTGGGGGTTCTGATGGTGCTGTGGTGTTTTGGGTCGTTTCTAGGGCATTTTGCATGTGGCTATGGTGTTTTGGGTATTGCTAGGATGTTCAGGGTTGTTGCCATGGTGTTGATAAGGGATTCTGGGTGGTTGCTAGGGTGCTCTGGCGTTTGATGTAGTGTTTTGAGTGATTGCTGAGGGTGTTTGGGATAGTTGCTAGGGTGTTCATTGTTGCTTGTGTCTTCAGTATGGTTGCTAGGGTGCTCATTGTTACTTGGGTGTTAAGGGTTGTTGCTAGGGTGTTCTGACTGGTTGCTAGGGTGTTTGGGGTTTTATTCTTCTGTACCTATTTTTTCATCAGCCCCGTCTGTGTTCTCACATATGTGTCCATATGTACACACACGCGCGTTAATCTACACCGGCTCGCACAAGTCTCTCTTCCAGTGTTATTTCTCTGCTGGGGAAATTGAGCTCATAAAAGATGAAAAGGCTTATTTAAGAGAAATTGCAGTGTAATGAAACCCCATTATTGTATCCCATGGTGCAATGCCTGTGGCAGCAGCTGGTTTTCACTGCTCAATCCTGTTTGTGCGGATTAGTCTCTCTCTCTCTCACACGCAGAGACACACTATCTCGTTTTCACCACTCACACTCAGGCTCACACACACTAATAATTCCTTGTTTTCCTCCATGGGGTGCTACTATCTTAGATGTGTCATTGTGGCTTACATAGATGTAGTCGCACATATGCACTGCAGAAAATTTTATTTTTATAATTGTCCTTGTTTTGTTTTCCACAAACAAAACAAACAAAATAACAAAAACAAAACAAAACCCTAAGCATTCTAAAAACCAGATTACGAGTCAAAACTGAAGTTGAAAATATATTTTTCAGAGAGTGCGTCTCAAATTTAAGTGTATTTGGACTGCATTTTGCGTTATTGCTACATACTGTAGACTATAGAGAGTTCTAACATCTGTGATCAGATAGATTCTTTTGAAATAAATTATTTTATTTAGCAAAGATGCATTAAATTGATTAAAAATATTGCTATTTCAAATAAATTGTTCTATTCAACTTTCTGTTCATTGAAGAATCCTGAAAAAAAATTATTACAGTTTCCACTAAAATATTAAGCAGCTCAACTGTTTTCATAATTTCATCATTCATAATAATAATAAAAAAAAAGTTTCTTGAGCAGCAAGTCAGCATATTAGAATGATTTCTGAAGATTCATGTGACACTGAAGACTGGAGTAATGATGCTGAAAATTCAGCTTTGCCATCACAGAAATAAATTACATTTTAAAATATATTCAAATAGGAAACACTTATTTTAAGTACCTATTTTAATATTGTTTCACAATATTACTGTTTTTATAACTGTTGTTATTTTTAAAACAATAAATGCAGCCTGGGAGAGCGTAAGACACTTGTTTCAAAAGCTGCTGTAGACAATAAAAAAATATATCCTGTTTTTTTTTCTTTGTTATGAATTTTGCTATGTGTGCACAATGTAACTTGAGCTGTTTGAGTGTGTGTGTGTGTGTGTGTGTGTGTATATGTGTTTGTGTTATATGTGTGTAGTTGTGTGTTTATAGGCAAACCACAGATGTTCTCAGCTGTACAGAAGCGTAACTGACCTTGCACAGCCTTTCCTAATTAAAACCAAGTGTGGCTACTTGCAGGAGGAGAGAGAGATGGAGCTAGACCCATACATCAGAACACATGTGGAAAAAGTTAGAATTAAGCAGAAGAGATTTCTACCAATCCAATGTATTATTCTGTCAGTTTCTGTTTCTTATAAAGGTTCAATTTAGAAGACAAATGTAAGTCATGCTAGGACTCATACGCATTACAACAGCTTATTCCAGGTTAAATATAGCTTAAAAATCCTATAAAATAAAACTTGAAATAGTTCACCCAAAATGGAAAAATTTGTCAGCGTTTACTTGCCCTCATATGGTTCCAAACCTGTATGAGTTTATTTCTTCTGTTGAACACAAAAGAAGATATTTTGAAGAATGTTGGTAACCAAACCTAGAGCACCTAGAGACGACCTCTACAGCCCTGAATAGGGGCTTTCGCACTGGAGGAACCTTTTCATAGTTCCTTGAACTATTGGTGGAAGTTCCCGCTTTTTGGCGTGTTCGCACCGCAGGAGCTAGGAACGTATTTTAGTTCTAGGAACTCCTTTTGGGGGAACTAATGGCGCTTTTCCACTGCATGGTACGGCACGGTACGGCTCGGTACGGTTCACTTTTGGGGGGTTTTCCACTGGGTACAGTACCTGGTACCTGGTACTTTTTTTAGTACCACCTCAGTTGGGGTTCCAAGTGAACCGTACCGTTACCAAAACGTGACGTGTAAACTCTGCTGATCACGGATTGGCCGGAGAGAATCGTCACTACCTGCATCACTGAACTTGCGACACAAACACAAAAGAACCGCTAGATTTAAATCAGCACAGCCAGCGAAAGATCAAGCGCAACTGTTTTGAACGAGCGCACCTTTTTTTTAACAACCAAAAAGTTTTGTTGTCTGTTGCGGAAGAACAGACGTTCCTCTCGTTGATAGCAGAGGAGCGGATCCAGCGAGAGCTTGATGGGGCTACGCGAAATGAAAAAGTTTTTTTTTAGGAGTCGTGGTAGTAGAGGCGGCACAACTATTATAACGACATGTGAATAATCCCGCCCACTCTAAAGCGGTACTGAACTGCAGTGGAAACGCAAACCGTGCCGAGCCGAACCGTGCCGTGCCGTACTGAGCCGTACCGAGCCGAGTCGTACCACGCAGTGGAAAAGCGCCATAATTTAGCTCCTACTTCAGAGTAGGGTCTAAAATAGTTCTATAGGAACTAAAGTGTACGCTGATTGGCCAAACGAAACACCAGCTACCGGGCATTTTTAAAAAGCCATGCAAACATATTTATTCCATGAACATAGAAAACAGCGATAACGGCATTTGCCTGTTGTCTGCAGTGTTGTGTTCTTTTCTCAGCCTCGATGATACTGCAAATTGTCATAGGAGACAATTTGCAGTCCCCCCCCACCGACTGTGCCTGGTTTCTCCCAAGGTTGTTTTCTCCATTTTTGTCACAGATGGAGTTTTGGTTCCTTGCCACTGTCGCCTTTGACTTGTTTAGTTGGAGACACAATTTCCTGCAGTGTTGTTGACTTGATTGTACAGACACTATTGGAATAGAACTGAACTGAGCTGGATGATGACATCACTGAATCAACGATGAACCGACTTTAAGTGAACAACTGACTGTTTTCTATTGTCCTTTTGCATTATTAGCACACGTTTTTTCTGTTTAACACTGTAAAGCTGCTTTGACACGATCTGTATTGTATAAAGCGCTATATAAATAAAGGTGACTTGACTTGACAAACAGTTGCTGGTAGACATTGACTGCCATAGTATATTTTTCACATACTATGAAAGCCAATGGCTACCAGCGACATTCTTCAAAATATTTTGTTTTCAACTCATGCAACTTTGGAACAACCTGATGGTGAGTAAATGATGCCACAATTTTCATTTAGCTTGAACTGTGTCTTGAAGTTTCGTGGCTTATACCCTAATGTAAAAAAGAAGCCTAAACCAGCATAAGACTAGGTCAGACTAGGTGACCATCTAAACCAGCTTGTCTAAGTTGGAAGACTAGGCTAAGACCAGCTTAGTTTAAGAAGTCTTTTTTCTGCATGGTAGTGCATATCTGTTAGCTTTGAAGCTGTTTATATGCTAACGTCAACAAAACCAACTTACAATAAAAGCACAAATGCATGCAAATGTTTAAAAAGTATTACAGTAACACATAATTTCACTTGTTAACGTGACCTTGTTGTGAAATTACATCCAGTCTGGAATGTCCATTGGGAGACACAAATGAGAGTTTGACGAGCTGATGGATGTTTTGTTTGTGTGTTTCAGTAGCGGATGAGAGTAATGTGGCCTCCATTCAAGGACATAGATCTGGTAAGAACTTGAACACACACACACACACACACACACACACACACACACACACACTGCACATATTAAAGCAACATGTCACATGAGAATGTGATTTTACTATGGTTAAGGAGTTTTATAAGGCATGTTAAGGGGAGTTAGTTGGAGCCCTTTTAACCCTGGTAAAATGTAATTTATTTTAATGAACAGCAGCAACAGAAATATGATAAAAGATGCCAATGTTCAATACGTAATTCATTTTATTAACAAACAATAAGTAAGCAATTGCTCTGCCAAGTTGTATAGTTTATCAGCCTCGCAACATCAGTACCACCATACTGCTTTAATAGCCAGCATCTCATTTATGGTCAAATGCTACAAGGCTGGCCCAAGATCAAGCATGTGATCTGTAAAGCGCTGTGTTAGTTGACTCACAGGCCAGTAATCTGACTCCAGATCAGTGGCTGTGTCTCAGCCAAGTCAAATGAAGATAAACGGAGGGCGACTGCTGGCCATTTGTAGCCTGTCAGTTGAGGTGAGAGAGTGAGTTGCTGCAAGGAGTGATTGTGTTAGTGGAGGAAACAGACAGACAAAGTGAAAGCAGTGACCACAGACACATGCAGAGTCCATTCCAAAATTCTAGTTTTCAGTAAAAATAAACTATGATATAACATTTTCAATCTTGACAAATAGCTTTGCAGATTTTTGAATGGGACTATATTTTATACTTTATATTTATAAATAAATAAATGTAATGTGAATATAAATTCAGATACAGTATAATTTTATAGTTGTAAATGTGTGTGTGTGTATAATATATATATATATATATATATTAATAAAAAAAAATAGTGTGTTACATTTATAAATATTTATGTAAATTTATATATATATATAGAGAGAGAGAGAGAGAGATAATCTAAATTTTTTTTAATTTATATTTGTAACATTTTATATATTTATATACACAGTACAAAACTTGACCGCAGATGAACTGTACACACAGACACATAGCATTGGATCATAAATTAAGTAATCAAAACCACATGCACACAATCGAGACTGAAATTTAGCGGCGCTCACAGCATGTGCATGCATAAAAAACACACACAGTCAAATTTACATGCATAGTCTACACATGATACTTTTGTATACTTCTCAGGGGTCGGGGACAATGGTAAATACATGGAAGGCTGATTGGAGTGTAATTTTACAGATGTGGGATCCGATAGATATTGACAGGCTGCAGGCTGTTGTGCTGACGCACTCATTTTTCTCTCTTTCCTCTGGCACGCTGTACGTACGCCAGAGTCCTTTATATGCTCTGACATATTTCATTATTAGGATGGTCTTGAAAACGTGGCCGCTCTGAGTTTAATCTGACTAAAAACCCCCAGCTAGTGCCGGCCAAACCACTGCGGTACTCCAAGACCTCTTTCTCTCTCTCTTTTCTTGCATCTGCTTTGCAGTAAACGCAGCATTTTTTAAATGTATTTTTCCTGTAAATTCACAATCTAGTCCAGCATTATGCAGGCCCTATTATTATTATTAGGTTTTTACACTGTCTGCTAACTGTTTTAGTAAAAATTAATGGGTTTTTATACATTTTATAATTTTATAATAAAAAAAGTTCTAGCACAGTAATATTGAATTATGCTACAGTTTATTCATAATGTTGAAGCCAAATGTATTGCGTATGCTATTGAAAATCAGCCTAACCTTAAAGGGGTCCTATTATGCTCTTTTACAAAGTCTTGATTTTGTTTTGGGGTGTACTAGAACATGCTCTCATGCTTGGTGGTTCGAAAAACGCATTATTTTTCACATAATTTACATTATTACAATACCTTTATCCCCAGGCTGGCACAAACGGCTCGATTAGTTCCGGCTTTGATGAAGGTCCACCTTCCGAAAAACAAAATGTTAAAAAAGTGAAAAAGCATAATAGGACCCCTTTAAGCAACCTCAAAAAACATTGCACTCATGTGATGTTCCCTTCATGGGAAGTCATAATTCATATGAAAATTGTATCCTGGAAACCATAATCCATTATTTCTATAAAGAGTTTATGAAAAAAAGTGGTTGTCATACTTTGCATGCTTGTCTCAACCACTAAATAGCACCATAAAGAGAGTTTGAGGTGTTCTGAGAGACCAAGTGAAACGCGCTTTGGTCATATTAAGCTTTAGATAGATTTTATTGTGAAAACCGATATATGAAACATATAGCTGATAGCCTGAAATAGTATGCTTTTTGAATGTGTGTTTAAAATTTACACAAACACTTACACATAGGGTCCAAAATGTTTTGCTTTACTTGGTAATGGCAGGTAAACTGAGAAAATGTATTGAAAATGATGAAAATTAGGAAATATGTTCTATTCCCATGAAACTCTATTCTGCATTTTGTATTTAATTTTTATTTAATTTCATTTCATTTCTAAGTTTTCTTTACCTAATATCAATTTCTTGTCTTCTAACCAGATTTAAACTCCACCACTCACAAAAATGTACATACCCATAAAAATGTGCTCATCATATTTTCTATTTCACTAAATCTGCTACTTTCCAAGATCACGTTTACAACTTTTCTTTTCTTTTCTTTTCTTTTCTTTTCTTTTCTTTTCTTTTCTTTTCTTTTCTTTTCTTTTCTTTTCTTTTCTTTTCTTTTCTTTTCTTTTCTTTTCTTTTCTTTTCTTTTCTTTTCTTTTCTTTTCTTTTCTTTTCTTTTCTTTTCTTTTCTTTTCTTTTCTTTTCTTTTCTTTTCTTTTCTTTTCTTTTCTTTTCTTTTCTTTTCTTTTCTTTTCTTTTCTTTTCTTTTCTTTTCTTTTCTTTTCTCTCTCTCTCTCTCTCATGCTCTTTTTTCCTCTACCCATATTTAGGCTCTAATCTATAAAGGCCGATCTCAAAAAAACGATCTCAAGCTGATGAGGATCGAGCCATCAGAGGATTGGCATGACATGCAGCGGCACGTCTCAGTCTCTGTCCGGCACGGGTAAAATAATTATAATGCTTAAGGTGATGTACAATTCATATTTCTTCATTAAATTACTTATGAAGTAATTTGAAAACCTTATGTGAGACGTAATTTCACAAACAGCGTGAGTGCATCACTGTGCACTCTCTCTCTTTCTCTCAAAATGTGCAAATGGCTTTAAATCACATCGCGTCTGCACTATAAGCAAGCTGCACGCTGCACAGTTGACACAGGAATTTACACTTGCACAATCGAGGCAGTGTCGCATCGTCACTAAAGTTTATAAACGATTCAGCGCTCGCGCGCTCTCCTGGAGACCGTGCGCTCATGCCCACTCGCTGCGCACACACATAACGCCAGGTTCGCATTATTCCGTTTGCAACATGGATTTTGTAGTAATTACACCATACATTTTTTTTTTTTTTAAATAGACTTTTTTAAGTCTATTGTGTCTATTGTGTAACACATAGGCTATGGCTTTTTGGCTAGGTTTACAAGAAAAGAGCACTTTTACATAAACAAAGCAATAATTTTAAAGTTCTTTATGAACCACATGATTGCTTGTAATAAAAAGTTAAATCCAAAAGAAAAGGCAGTAGAGCTGACTGTTTCTGTCAATGGTAAGTTTTAATTTAGAATGTTTGTGATAACGT